GCTTTCCTAATTTTAACAATTAATAAAGTTCAGCTCTTAATATAGTAAGACATATTAGGTAATATATAAAACAAAAAATAATTTTTGCTATTTTTTTACTTTTATTAAATTATAGAGAATGAAAATTTATTAGTTTTAAGCATAGAAAAATTCTTGTTTAAGGAGAAATGTACCTTTTTTTTTCCCCCTTGATTTTTCTATACCAACTGTGTAAAGCTTGGTTAGAATTACAAAAATGTTTTACAATTTTTCCACAAGTTTTTCATTTCATATTCTTTCTGCAGAAAAATCTTTCTAGAGGGAAAAGCTAGTGAACATCTTTTTCACAGGCAGCCCTATTTGCTCTCCTTTTCTAGATAGCTTGTCCCTTGAATAAAACTAGTCTAGTCCAGGGAAAGAAAAGTACCAGTTCCAACATGCACATACTTTCATTACATTAATACAAAGGATTTTGACTTACAACTTAAACTACTAAGAAAAGTTGAATACCATAGTAGTTAAAAGGTAGACCTGGGCTGGAATACACTTCTGCTATATCCTAGGTATATTCCTTAGGGAAATTTTTAAACCTCTTTGATTCTTCATTTTTCATCTATAAAATGGGAGGAATTATTATTGGAATTATTGGGTGGATTAACTGAAAGCAGGCACTATGTTATCTGCTGATATCATTATCATTATCATCTTATGTGTATGCTTATTAGGTATTTTTTATTGGCCCGTTCTGATCCAAATCCTAAGACTCCTGCTAGTAAAGCGTTTACTGGATTTATCGTGGAAGCTGATACTCCAGGAATCCATGTTGGAAGAAAGGTAAAGTCTGTGTGTGTGTGTGTATGTGTGTGTGTATACATATAATCATTTCAAGTAATTATTTGAAAGAGTGGTCATTTGGGGTACCAATCTGTGGAGAATGCTTACAGCAGGTTTCAGGGATGAAGTTGAAAAAACTATCATATTTATATGGCCTGCTCAATAATAGAGTTTTAGATGTCTCAAAAGACTTCACTCTTTTTCCTGTTGGATCCTCACAGCAAGCTTTCAGGTAAGATGAGTGACATTGTGCCCATTTTATGGGTTAAAATAATTTGAAGTAAATTGACTACCTAAAGTCATATAAAATTCTTGCCTGGGGAAAGTATTAGTTTAGAATGGCGGAACAGCTAGGATATGGAAAGCCAGGAAAATTTTATTTAAATAAGAAATGGTCATTTAACATATTTGAAAAAAATTAGATCTAAATGTATTGGTGTATGTTTAATAGTTGCATTTAGATGAAAGAGAAGAAAGTTTAAAACTTGACAAATTAAGGAAGAAAAGAAGTGAAGTCATTAAAGTATTCCTGGTGAGAGCTAACAAAGCATGATACAAGATTATAACTTTGAGAATAGGAAGAGGGCACTCAATTTTACAACTATAAAAATGTTTTTTTGCAAACTGAATTTGTAAAAAAGAAAACCAGTCAATAACCAAATGAAATCTATAAGATAAGGGAAAAATTAAAAGTTGAAGAGTTAACTAAAGTTTACCAGTTAAGATGTTTCAAATGGTTACAACACGGAAAGCACTTAATTGTCTAGGTCACATTTGGAAAACAGCTACCTGGCTACCAACTAGAAGATACACCAGTGCATATTTCCTTATTTTTTCTTTTTTTGCTTATGAAAACGTATATTTATTATATATTATTATGGAAACGTATATGTTAAATGTTTTGAAAATCAGAAAACCGTTATCTCCAAAGAAAGTCCTATTCAATTCCATAAATATTTATGTGGTACCATTATTGTTAAAGAAGCAGTAGGGCTTATTAAAAATAGAAAAGAGCTATAAAATATGTCTCTTTATGAGAAATTATATACTTTTATGAGAATTTTTCAATTTTATTTTTTTTGTTGAGAATATACATAGCAGAACATTCACCAATTCAACAATTTCTAAGTGTGCAATTAGGTGTACAATTAATTCAGTGGTGCTGACGTCATTCTTTAAGTTGTGCAACCCTTCACATCCTCCTTTTCTGAATTAGTCTTCCCCTATTAACATAAACTCACTGCCCTCTAAGTTTCCTATCTAAACTTTCAACTTGTTGCTATCAATTTGGCCCCACATTGGTAGTTCTTAAAAGAGCATTAAACTCGAGAAAGACTTTTTTTTTTTCTTTACTATTTTAGTTTAAAGAAGAGTGCAGTGGAGATTTTTGGTTTAAGGTTCAAATTTTAAAGATTATCTCAGAGCAGTAGCTTTAGGGATTCATTCAGTCTTCATGGCTCCAGAAAGTCTAGAGTCCATGAGAAGTTGAAATTCTATTGTGCATTTCCCCTGTTTTGATCAGGATTCTTATATAGTATCTTTGATCAAAACATTCAGTAATGGTAGGCAGGCACTATCCAGTTCTTCTGGTCTCATGGTCTTTTGGTCTCAGTTGTTCATAAAGGCAATCACCTACACATTCCATTACCTCCTCGTGTCCTCCTGACACTCCATCTCCCTCTCTTACTCCAGGTGAATACTCACTGCCGTCAAGTCAGATCTAACTCACAGCGACCCCTCCTTGGGTTTCTGAGGCAGTATCACTACGGAAATAGATTGCCCAGTCTTCCTTCTGAGGAGTGGCTAGTGAGTTTGAACCAGCATTCTTCTGGTTCGCAGTCAAATGCCTTAGGGTCTGCGCCACCAGAGCTCCTCTCCAGGTGAATAGACTCCTGTTTTTGTAACCTGGATGAATCTAGTATTGTCAGTGCAGGGTGGCGTAGTGCCTAAGGCATTTGACTGCTAACCAAAAGACTGGCGGTTCAAA